ACCAAACGCATATATGCGTCCATAGTACTCTCAATTGGTTAAATATCGTAGAAGAAAGGGGAAATGTTTGAAATAGAAAAATATTCTATAAATATAAAATACATGGTATAAAAGTTATTATAAGAATTATATAAACATACTCGTATGCATTATCCTTTAAAACATTTCTAAAGGATTCAAAAGATCTTACATAACGTTGCAAATAATGTATAAGTGTTATTAAATCATGTAAATGTTATAAATATTTACAAATGTGTAAAAACGTTGTAAAATTTATAATTAAATGTAATAATTGTAATAACAAGTCAATGATGAAATGACAAGTTAATGACAATGAAGAATTATTTGATTATTTGAACTTAATGGAAACGTACAATTAATTATTAAACGAAAAGATTGAAATTGTAATAAATTATAATGTAACGAAGGGCACATTACTAAGTGGTTACGAAGTATGTACACATTTTTCTGATCCACCTAGATTATTGATATAATTAAAATTAGTGAAATTATTCAACAGTTGCTGCTGAACACTATTTTGTATAGAATTATACACATTATTGATTGAAGAAAATGAATTTTCGATATATTGTTGTTGATCAGCACCCGAAGGTGGAATGTAAGAATGAATAACTGTCGATTCTTCAATCGTGCTTTGCATCAATTTTTTATTTACACTCGTATATTCCATAGCACTTGAACCGTTCTTCGAACTTTCGTCCTTTTTAAATTTCATACGCCTATTTTGAAACCATATTTTGATTTGTCTTTCAGTCAAACAAAGTGTCTCCGCTAATTCTATCCTTCGTGGTCGACAGAGATAACGGTGCCGTTTAAATTCATTTTCTAAGTCTTTCAGTTGATTACTTTTGAATGCAGTCCTTTTTCGTTTTCCTGTTTTCTTAGTAGTTACTGCAATATGAAAAAAAACAATTGTAAACATGGCTCAATATACTTCGCACAAAATTAATTTGATAAAATAATTCAATTGAATTGGAAACAAAAAATGGAAATAAATTTGTTTAAGTAATAATAATAAACTATAATAATTAACAAGATTGATCAATTCAATATTTCATTATTCATGTCTCGAAAAGATAAACTATAAAACTGTTTGGTTCAGCAATGAAACCTTTATCGTTTACAAAATACACTAAGGTCTAGTTACTCGAGTTTTATGGGCACAGGATTTATTTATAATCTGACGAAGAGCTTCTTTACCCTTACAACCTGTACCAACAAATTACTATCCCCCCCCCCTCCCCATCAAAGTCAATGATCTTGAGCTCGATTTTTCTTATCGAATTTCTAGGTATTTATTTCGAAATACTTATTTCTCAGTTTTAAGTATTGTGAGAGAGAAAATCTATGATTAAGAAAATATTCTTCTTGCTTTGGGACATTTTCAACTAATTACTTATCGATCGTTAAGGAAACCTTGACGCATATTCGATATCGTGTCGCTATATCTTTTTTGTTCTTAGCGATAAAAATAAATTTAAGGATCTTTTGATAAACGTTTCTAATTTCACATAAACTTAATAAAATCTAATAAAGAATTTAAAACTATAAACAATAAGATAAATAAAAATAAAAATACATATGATCGTTAGATTTTTGTCAGATGATACACGCATTTATTGTCGTTCAATTATTCTTAATTCTTTTTTTTACGTAATAATTATTGATTTAAATTATTTATAAAATACAATATTTTAAGTTTCGTATTACTTAAGAGCATAAACATTAATCTCATTAATAATATAATTAATCATAAAGTCAAAATGTTTTAAATTTTCAAAAAGGAGGGATAAATAATGCAAAAAAGAAAAGAAATCAAAAAGAAAAATGGCGTTAACTATATCAATAATAAATTTATATCAATATACCTTCTTCAGAACGCGGGGAGGGAGAGATAGATGAAGTTGCCTCTACGATATTAGTAGGTTGTTGTTCTTGTATTCCATTTTCCTGATTGATTATTATTGATTCTTGTTGAAATATTCTGTGCTGCTGACGAAATTCTTGCGAATCGTATCCGAATTTCTGCGATTCTATTAGATATTGTTGTGAATGTTGTTTCTCTTGTATTTTCTCTCCCTGGTTTAACATTAATGGTCCTGTTTGCAATATTTCGTTCTGCTGCCAAGATTCACATTGATAAGTTAGCGATTCGCATTGGTATTGCTGCGAGTTTATTGGTAATTGTAGCGATTGTTGTTGCGATAGTTGTTGCTCTTGTATTTCATTTCCCTGGTTTATTATTAATTGTTCTGGCTGTAACATATCACGTTGCTTATTATAATCACCTTGAAAAGTTTGCGATTCCCAGGAATATTTCTGCGATTCTGTTGGGTATGGTTGTGTTGGTTGTTGCTTTTGTATTTCATCTCCCAGATTTAATAATAATGATTCTTGTTGTAACACATCATACAACTGGTTAAATTCATCTGGATTAATTTGCGATTCCCAAGAGTCATTTTGCGTTTCTATTGAATATTGTGATTCCGACAGAAGTAGTTTCTCGTCAAAAGAAAAAATGTCTTCAAGGCAACATGGTTGGAAGTTCATTTTTGACGTCTTTAGAAAACTTAAGGAAACCAACGGTTAGTTCTAGTAGATGAACAACTCACAGAAGACTAAAGTGATTCCTAAAAATTGTATGATATTTATAATTTTGAAGGTATGTATTCAGAAAACTTTCGACCAATCAGTTTTGATCACTTTCGAAATTTTCGAAACGTCAACAATCCATTGGTTTTCCTATGAATTGTCAAACGTTTACGAAATAAAGAAGGATAGGTAAAAGAACAGTACGTGACTAAAACTGGTCTTTTGTTTACGCATCGGAGAAAGAGGGGATATTTGATTGTATTCTTTTCTTTCTCACCTATCGTATCAGTAAATTTTGTTGTGTAACAAAAATATAGAAACGTGCTACGTGTCTACGTTTTCATTCATTTACGAAAGATAAGCTTATGCTCCTAAAATATATTCATAAGCTAGAATGATAAAATGTATTTCTATATTATCAGTCTCTAGAATTTTAAGAATTGTTAAGATTTCTTTTGCCTTACGAATTATAATACGTGTAGATACTTCGTAACGTACATAGATAGAACTTTTCGCAAGATAAATACCATGATTATTTACTTTGAGTTACTTGCTGTACACACTCAAGTACGAATATGTTTATGTGGACAGATCTAGTATTGTTCTTCACTCGATTTTATATTTTCTAAAAGAAGTTATTATGTAAGAAACTTGTTTCTATTTGTAAATCTTATATTACGTGTAATAAGAAATTTCAAATATTATATGTAATTATATAGTATATGTAAATAGTTTAATATTTTATTATATTAAAGTAAATATATTTTAATTAATTTGTAAAAATATTTCTATTCCAAAAAGAAAACAGTTAAAAGATATTAGTTGTTTATTATTAAAAAAAATAAAATTATTAATAAATGTGTGTAACAAGGAAAGTGGACAGGTTAATGATTTAGAACGTTATTTTGATCTAATTGGTCGTTTCGTTCCTTCATCGGAACTTCTTCAGCAACTGAAATTTTATTATGACTACTATGAAAAATATACATTATAAAATAGTTATTTAATATTACCTTGATCGTTATTGTTCAGAATCTTTTACATATTTATGCAGACATACATTCTTATATTTTAAAAAATAAACTGTATTAAACATCCACAATTCGTTATATTTTAAAAACCGTTATGTTGAAACACGCAATCAAACAAAACTTGTTCAATCTAGAGATTTTGTCCGTTCTACACTTTCCAGAAAATTTTTTCATTTTTTTTCCTTATACAATTTAAACAAAAAGAACATCGTGCAGCGTTAAACAATAAGCTTTGAACTTAGAACGCTTCTTTCAAAATCAAATATTAATCATGAAACTTATTAATATGAATATTTTACATTGTTAGTTTATTTTAAAATCCAAGTATATGTATGCAATAAAGTATAAAATATATGCAATAAAGTATAAAACTATTGTATCCAGTACACAATGTCGGGTAAGAGTTAAAAAACGAATAATCGAGTATCATCATTCACGTGTGCTGTTGTGTCCAAGCATATTTGTATCATAATAGAAGATCTTCCACCTCTCCACTCCTGACAAAC